GGCAAATATCAGCTCTTGGGTTGCTGCAGATTGCCAGCAAGATCTTGAAAGCTTTTTATACGTTCTTTCATTAGACTTTGATGTAAATGGGTCTGGGACAGCAGAGAGGAGCTGCCAGCTTTTTGGATTCCCAGGGGCAGGTGGACAAGGTTGAAGTTGAGGTGAAGACATCTTCATTAGGAAGGTAGAGCATAAAAAGAGGGCACGTGGGCACCAAACCTGCTCTCCTCTGCCATCTGTTTGCAGCAAATTCGGTAGATGACAGATGTCCCTTGGCGTAGATTAGCTGGCCATGTGATAGTCACCTAAGCTTGCCAGACATCACCTTCCCTTCTCCAAGAGCTGCTTTCCCCAAAACATCTAAAAAGGAATACACAGTTAATCTCTAGGGGACTTGCCTGGAGAGCAGACCAGTCTTGAAGACCTCTTCTTTTCCAGACCTATTGGCCTTTCTTTTCAGACCGTGCATGTTTATGATTTCAACTTAACACGCATTAGAAGTCCCAAGGGCTTCTCAGGTTCTCCTCCAAGCTTCCCACCATGTAAACTGCAGAGTGTTTAGCTCCAAAATTGAAAATGACCCCTGTTAACGATCCTTCTGGAGACCACGGGCTCCTTGTTCTTTGCTTTTTCCACACCCCTTGCTTCCAGAACCAGCAGCGCTGAAATGTTTGTTACGTTCTCCTCAAGTCACCAGTGTTTAAATATCAAAATAAAACCGATGTAGGAGAGAGACCAAGTGCGATTTTGCTGCCCACTGAGAAGATGCAAACCTGCCTGAGAAAACCATGAGCACCTGGGCTTTATGGTGGCTTCTGGCCCAAGCAGGAGCAAAACCCATCCCTCTTGTGTAGGTCTTCTTGTAGGCCATTGCGGAGCAGAGGGTGGTCTTCTACCTTGCAAGACATATCCCTTTGGCTCTCTTTAGGGATTTCATCTTCATTAAGAGTGTGTCCACCAAGAAATGGAGCAGCTGCATTCCAGATCCGTGTTGTTCTCGGTGAGCCAGCTCTACAGAAGGCACTTCCGTTGCTGTCCTGCATGACCTGTGTTGGGGAGCAGCCTCCAGACAAACCCAAGAGTCATGTCTTCAAGGTGCTCACCATGCCCTTGGGACTCTGGCCTGTCACAGAATCACGGAATGATGTCGGGTTGGAAAGGACCTCTGGAGATCATGTAGTCCAACCCCCCTGCCAGAGCAGGTCCATCTAGAGCAGGTTGCACAGGAACATGTCCAGGAGTGTTTTGAATGTCTCCAGAGAAGGAGACTCCACCACCTCTCTGGGCAGCCTATTCCAGGGCTCTGCCACCCTCACAGGAAAGAAGTTCCTCCTCATGTTTAGGTGGAACTTCTTGTATTCAAGTTTGTGCCCGTTACCTCTTGTCCTGTCCCCACCCACCCAGCACTCTCGGTCTTCTCCAGCCACTCTGCCCTTGCAAGTTGCTGAGATTTCCTTTTACATCAGCTTATTGCACAAAAGAAGTCAACTTTTCTCCCTTCCAAATTTAGCTCCGTTTGGGCACCAAAATAGATCAGAGTAGGGACCGGTGACTGTTTTTTTCCAAAACATTGTCTCATGACTAGGACTAAGGAAGGGAATTGCTCGGCTGGAGAAAGGAGATGCTTGATTTTCGTAGCGAGGACACGAAGTTCTCCTCTGTTCAATCATAGGCATGCTCCTTGGATTAGGAGCCTTATTCCCATGGAATTAATCCATCTCTCACCCCGGTGCTGTCTGCTGCTGGTGTGAGGAAGCACAGGGATGCTCTGCAAGGAGGACATGCAGCGACGCGCCATCATACACGTGGTTTCTAGTTGGAAAGAGCAGAAAGGGAGTTCCTGAAACTTCACGAAGGCTTCTCCTGGAGGAAATCGGTGCTTTAAGTCCTTGTGTTCTGCAGAGGTGGTTTCATTCCTTCCAGGGTAATTGTATTTGCACGTGTGTCTGGAAGGCAGCTTCAATTCTTAAAAATACCCCAAGCTCTCTCCTGCTGTGGTAGCACAATGTTTGGAAACAGCCTCGCTGAGTATTTTACTATTTTTGGCCTCATTACCTAAACTAGCTGATGCGATCGGGCTGTGTGCGTGTCTGCTCCATCCCTTCCTTTTCTCATTGGTAACCCTTGGCCAATTTCCATCAAATTTCCAGAGGAACGGAAGTCTCGGAGATATTAAGCTCCTCCTATGCCTTCAGCGGTCAAGTAGATGAGGAAGACTCAAACCCCCAGTAATGAAGAAGGTTCAGTGTGATTTTAAGCTATTAGACATCAAAGATTCCACTGTGAAGTGTTTAGCTGCAGGAGAAGCCCAAGTCAGACCTGGTTAACTGGGTGATAACCCAACCACAGCCCCAGAAGAGCAGGCTGCCAGCTTTCCCTACTCCCAAAATACCTCTTCTTAGTCAAAGATGGGCTGTGTTTGAGCAGTGAGATGAGATCTAGGGAGGATGAGGAGAACTTGCTGATGCTGGATGTAGGCACATGAGGAGAGGACCACAGAAAAACGTGCATCGTTGAGCAGATCCTCATTAGACGAGCAGATCTAGCTCAAGATCATCAAGATCATCATCAAGAAGGCAAATTCATGTAATGAGTGGCCTCTGGTGTGGTACCTTTAGATGTTAAGGATGTTTTAGTGGGAGAGAAGGATAATTTGGTCACCAAGAATGGGTACTACTCATGAACATGCTTTCTAATGCCTGTGCTAAGCCGTATGATCATGGTGCATCCAATTTTCTCTAAAAGAGTTAAAAGTGAAGAAGAAAGCTAAAAGGGAAACTACCTTCTCAGGAGACACACTTGAAGACTGCACCCAAAGCAAGGTTCAAATGGCGACGTGGTAGCCAGCAGCAGGACTTACCTAGGGTCTTGGTGACTTCTTCAGTGCTTGAAGTTTTGAAGAGTGAAGATCCCCGAGGCTGGTCTCCCAGCTGCTGTAGGGTTGCTGCAGTAGCAGTTTCTCCAGGTTCTTTGCAGATGGCCAGGGTGGATGGTCCCAATAAACCCTGTTGGTCTTGGACTTGGGGTCTGCAAGCCTAAATTCATTACCGTCCCCAGCAACCTTTCTCCTCCGCTACATCTTCCACCAGAGGAACTCAAAATACTGTTATCTCAGTAACCGCTGCTAAAATTAACTCCTCATTTCTAAGGCTCTTCACGCAGAGAGAGGGAGGGAGGGTTTTTTTTTTTAAGTTGATGTGTGTTATGTTGTCATGCCAATGTGACAAAGCTGCTGCTCCAGGAGACGCGTTCCCACCCAGCCCTTGCCCTTGCCCAGGCTGCTCCCTCGTGGCCCCTCACACGTGGTGGCTGAGATAGCTTGGAAATAAAAGGAGTGACTTCTACAGGGCTTTTATTGCCAGCTGGGGAAGCGCGGTGCTGCGTAAATAAAAATTGTTACGGTTATGACAGCTCTGTGGTCCCTGGAAAATAAATAATCCTTCACACTTAATGTAGAGCCTTTCATCCAGGAACCTCAGAATCAACGAAGCTTCACGATGCCCATAGCAGGATGGTAAATACAGCATCCCCCTTATGAGGTGAACCTACCAAGTCAGAGCGTCGGCACCTTTGGTGTAAGGAGGACAAGACACACAGCTCTTCCACTGACTTGACCTGGTCAAATCATTTAATGTCCTGGTCATCTCAGTTGTTTCCAGTAGGTAGATGCCACTTGTCCCTTTCCCAAAGATGGTGTGGGTTGACTAAGTCATGGTGGGCCAGCTCATGATGTGGTCGTTGACTTGCTAAAGGCGTGGGGCCACAGCTCCAGCAGACCCGCCAGCTAGGGCTTGTGTTGCCTTACCCTAGTATCCTCAAAATCATAGAATCATAGAATGGGTTGGGTTGGAAGTGACCTTAAAGACCATCTAGTTCCACCCCTCTGCCATGGACAGGGAGACCTCCCACCAGACCAGGTTGCTCAAAGCGCCATCCAACCTGGTCTTGAAGACCTCTAGGGATGGGGCAGCCACAGCTTCTCTGGGCAACCTGGGCCAGGTTGCTGCTGAGCATCATCCCTTTACAGTCACTTTTACAGCTGGGTTTTACACAAATAAATAAAACAGAAAGAAACAACCCAGTGAAAGTGGATGGTTTAGATGCACCAGTATCGTGTTTTGTGTGTGACATGGGTGAATTTCCTGTAGATGGTGTATACTGGGATCCATCCATACATCGTGGCGTGTGTGGTTTTTCCCATACAGAAATGAGAGATAACTTCATTCCCTGCTCGCTGCAACGGCCCTGAGAGAGGACAACAAGTCTGTGGCTTTCCAGACCTGCTTCTATAGGGTCTGAAATGTTGGATGGATATTTGGATGGAAACTGTTTCTTTTATCCTGCTCACATGTTGGGTGTACAGCTCTGTCTCACTCTGACCCCTTCCACCATCTAACCACCTCCCACCAGACCAGGTTGCTCCAAGCCCCCTCCAACCTGGCCTTCAACCCCTCCAGGGATGGGGCAGCCACAGCTTCTCTGGGCAACCTGGGCCAGGCTCTCACCACCCTCACACCAAAGAAGTTCTTCCCCACATCTCATCTCCATCTCCCCTCTCTCAGTTTGAAGCCTTTACCCTTCATCCTATGGCTCCCCTCCCTGATCCAGAGTCCCTCCCCATCTCTCCTGGAGCCCCTTGAGGGACTGGAAGGGGCTCTAAGGTCTCCCTGGAGCCTTCTCTTCTCCAGGCTGAACCCCCCAACTCTCTCAGCCTGTCCTCACAGCAGAGGGGCTCTAGCCCTTGGAGCATCTTTGTGACCTCCTCTGGATCTATTCCAACAGGTCCATGTCCTTCCTGTGCTGAGGACTCCAGAGCTGGACGCAGTACTCCAGGTGGGGTGTCACTAGAGACTGGAAGGGGCTCTAAGGTCTCCCTGGAGCCTTCCTTTCTCCAGGAGGAACACCCCCAAGTCTTTCAGCCTGTCCTCACAGCAGAGGGGTCTCAAATTGATGCCTCCTGTATCTCGGAGCTGATGGCTGCTTTTCCCTCTCTTTCACAGGGTTACCATCCGTTGCCTCATGAAGCTGAAATCGCACACACCAAAAAACTGTTCAGAAGGAGAAGAAACGACCGGAGGTAGGTGAAACCTCTCTTTAATGTGGTTTTGTTTTGTTTTTTTTTAATCTTCTCTTCCTCATTGCACATCTACCCCTGTCTCATGGAGTGTCTTTGGACAAAACTGCCATTTAGCAGCTGCCAGCGTTGTTCATGCGTAAACCCTTATTTGAGCAGTGACATCCTGAAAATGCAGAATCCGTGCATCCCCCTGGTTTGTCTTTGAAATCTGGAGTATCCAGGAGTATCCTGGAGCTCCAGGAGTATCTTAAGGACCTCCTCTTCCCCTTATACTCATTCCAGCAAAGCCAGATCCCCCCCAACGCACACACTTATATTAGAAGAGGCAGCTGGCAGGGTGTTATCTGTAAAAGCTCTGAGTCCTTGTGACTTATTTCCTCTCTTTCTCGTTGAAAAGCAAAATTTTGCTGATTTTTCAGGGTCTCCTGCAAAAGCAGGGCTGGTTTTGAGAGGGGTTTGCAGCGAGTGTGGGACGCCTGTCCCCATGAAGGAGGGGATGCTCTCAGCAGGCAGCTCTGGTGGCATTGGTGATTTCAATCCACTGGGTTAATTGAATTGGGTCGTTGGGATATTTAATTGCATATTTAATTATACGAGGGCATCTCGAGTCCTCGATAGGAATCGTGACTATGGGTAAACGTGAAAATAAGCAGGGAATGAGGAAGTTTGTTGTAGATGGAGCTTTATTGCTGATGGTGCGTTCTGCTGTGGCTGAGACAACCCAACTGGGGCAATAAAACTTTACTAAAACCAGGATTTGATGTTATTTAACAGGAGAAGAGGTTTCCCATTTCAGGGAATTTTCAGGGGAGGTTCAGGCTGGATATTAGGAAAAAATTTTTCACTGAAAAGGGTTCTCAGACGTTGGAATGGGCTGCCCAGGGAGGTGGTTGAGGCACCATCCCTGGAGGTGTTCAAAAGACGGGTTGATGTAGTGCTGGGAGGTCTGGTTTAGTGATGGTGATGCTCCTTGTTTGTTGTGTGGGTGTCTATGTTTTGTCAGTGAGGTTGACAGTTGGACAAGATGATCTTTAAGGTCCCTTCCAACCTAGAAGATTCTGTGATTCTGAGATTCTGTGATTCTGTGTTTCTTCCTAAAGTGATCTGAAATCTGTGCCTCACGGGGGGGCGTTTTTGGGGGTAGTCCTGCAGACACCTGTAGCAGTTGGAATGTGTCCTCAAATGTCCCCATCGCTTCTCGCCTCAGGAACAGCCCTGATGTACTTCATTCTGTGCTTGCTTTTAGTTTTCTCAAATTTTAGCAATTTTACCAACTCCTTTTTCTCTCCTCTTTGGGGCTCCCTCCTTTTTTCCTGTCGGCAATTAAAAAGACAATTTCGTCTTGTGATTTAGAGAAAAAGGAAAAAAAAAAAAAAAAGGGCTTATTTCAGCTGGGTTGCAGACCTGGGATCACCAAAACATGGTTATGTGGTTAAAACCAAGCTGAAGTCTCCTTGTGATACAAGAGAGAGCTGGGTGGGCTTCCTCGAAACACTGGGCTGGACTCCTTCAGAAATCCCAGGGGATTTTGGGAGCATCCCAGCTCCCAGGAGTGGGTTGTCCTCCACCATCCAAAGAGTACCTGATGCTGCAGGAGACCTGAAGAGCCAAGGGTTCTCCTGCCTGAAGCCTCGTGGTCAAATCCTGGACCAGAGCCACGGAACTGCCTGTTGGTTCTTCCCTCCCATCCGAAAAAACCAGGATCACGCCAGAAGTTTTTTCATTTCTTTTTCTTTCTGGTCCCTTCAGATAAAACCTCAACATTTAGCCCCCCCTGGGGCATCCCTCCCTCCCATGCAGATGGTGAGGAGAGATAGCAAAAAAAAACCTGCCTTGGGCTGGGGTTGGAAGATTGTGGGGTGAGATACGGCCCAGACCACGTGGCACTGGGATAATATCCCAGGAGGAGAGACAGAAGCCTTAAAATCCAGTTGATATGACATCATGTGATAGAAGATATGGGATCCTTTCAACCCTAAGCAGTCAGAAATGAAATAAAATGGAAAGAGCAGAGGGGATGTGGTCCTGCTTGAGTTCCTCCACAGATATTCATGGTGGTGTCCAAGCTTAGATAGAAGAACATACTTATTTCGATTTTAAAAAAGCTAAGAAGCCCAGGTTGAGACAACGGAGTGAAACAACAGTCTCTTAAATAATTATTTACGTGGAAAAGGCCTGGTCCCATCCCCTAGACATCAGCTGAGGACCTCAGCAGCCCCCCTGTCCCTGCACCACATGGTTTGATGCTGGGGGTTCTCAGGGTGCCCCTGCCTCTGCAGTGCATTTGGGACCAGGAGGGGAGTTTCAGTCCTTCTAGTGCCATTTGAGATGCCCCCCAGAGAGCACTCGCTTCTTAAAATTAATTTCTAGCAGGAAGTGAGGTCTCAGAATGGTTATTTTATAAGAAAAACATGGTAGAAATAGGGTGGGGGAAGGGAATACCCACTGTATTGGAGCACAAACAGGTTACAAAGCTGTTCACACTTAATTGCAATATTATTATCTTAATTCCCCAGGCATCATTCTGGGGGAGAAAAGCTTCATTTCAGAGCTGGTGGAGCCACACAGGTGGTGTAAACAACCTTCTGGATGAGATTTTATGGCCAGCAAAGCAGTTGGGACCCGTGAGCTTTTTGGTTTAAACGGGTATGGATCTCTGGATATGGAGACACTCAAAATTGCAAGATCTTGGATGGGGCATCGGAGGTAGTGAGGCTTGGGGGAGGCTGAGCAGGACCAGTTAGAATCATAGAATCATAGAATTATCTAGGTTGGAGGGGACCTTTCAGGTCATTGAGTCCAACCATCAACCCAACAGTGACAAAAGCCATCACTAAACCATATCTCTGAGCACTTTGGTGGTGCATGGCTTGGGAGGGGTGTTAGGAAGCAATTCTGGATGCACAAACCCAAGGGAAGAAGAGCTGGTTTCTTAGAAAGGGGTTGGGAGCAGCCAAGGGTGGGAGTAGGGTTGACACACGGTGGATTTGCGAGAAGAAACGGGGTTGTCCTCCGTTGGTTAGAAGCAGGTGTGGCTCCAAAGCTCTGCTGCAGCTGGGTCTGGTTTTCATCAGGCAGCTTTTGGTCTTCTCCTGAAGGTGCTGAACACTTGGCACCAAGCAATGCTTGTCCATGGTGCATCATCTCACCCTGCCCAGGACCCGGTTCATCCAAGAAGGATGGCACGTCCAAGAAGGATGGTCACACAGGTGACCACGGTGGGCGTCCTTCTGCCGTGTCCACAAGGGGAACATCCAGTGTGGGTCAGGACGTCAACCCCCAGGCTGACCTCTGTACCACACACGGGTCTAACTGGTCTTGCCTGGTTGTAGCTGACCTTCAGGTTGGCTTCTAAAAGAGCTGATAAAGCACATCAGCACCCAGAAATCTGCCTTTTTTTTTTTTTTTTCCCAGTTGGTCTCATAAATGATACTGGTTGTTCCCCAGTGCTCGCGCGGGCTCCTGTCCCCTCCCTGACGGTGACATTCCAAAGAGGCCACGTCTTGGGCTGCCGAAGCACCTTTTGTTTCGCGTGCGAAACGAGGCTGACGTCCGGCCGTGCTATAAATAGCGCCCGTCCCTGCTTCCTTCCTGTCACCTTTCCTCGGGAAATGCTGTCACCGCGTTACGGAGGAACGCGCCTCACCTACCCCAACATCTCTGCCGTGCACCTTTCACACCCGTGGTGGGGAGTACAACTCTGTGGGTGTGCAACCACCGCTTTCTCCTTGCATATATGATCCATTTTTATGGTCCACGAGGCACGAAGGGCCACGGAGATGCTCTGAGGGCTGGAGCCCCTCTACTGTAAGGAAAGGCTGAGAGAGTTGGCGGGGTTCAGCCTGGAGAAGGGTCCATGGAGATCTTAGAGCCCCTTCCAGTCCCTAAAGGTGGTCTATAGGACAGATTTGAACGGCCTTTTGAACAGGGAGTAGAGTGATAGGACAAGGGGTAATGGTTTTAAACCAAAAGAGGGGAGATTTAGGTTAGATATTAGGAGGAAATTCTTTGCTGTGAGGGTGTGGAGGGAGTTGGAGGGAGTTGTGAGGTTTGGAGGGAGTTCCAGCCTCCCTGCCATGGGCAGGGACACCTCCCACTAGAGCAGATTGCTCAAGGCCCCATCCAGCCTGGCCTTGAACACTTCCAGAGATCGGGCAACCCCCCATGGCAAGGGGGCTGGAACTCGATGATCTTTGAGGTCCCTTCCAACCCGAACCATTCTATGATTCTATGATTCTGTGGTGGTGAGAGCCTGGCCCAGGTTGCCCAGAGAAGCTGTGGCTGCCCCATCCCTGGAGGGGTTCAAGGCCAGGTTGGATGGGGCTTGGAGCAACCTGGTCTAGTGGGAGATGTCTCTGCCCAGGGCAGGGGTTTGGAACTTGATGGTCTTTAAGGTCCTTTCCAACCCAAACCATTCTATGATTCCATGATTTTTCCATGGGATGCATGCTTCATTTTTTCATATATTATAGAAACAAAGAGCAGATTAAAGGTGTCGTTAAACCAGGCTTCAGCTTTCCCAATTAAGGACTACTGTTGGTTTGTTGGACACGTTTTTGGTAATAGCAATCAGCATCACATCTGTTGAAGGGTTTGGTTGTGGTTGCACACGGTGTTGGAAGAGCCTGCAGGAGGTAGTGAGGTCCTTGCTGCGAAGAGCTTACAATCGAGGCAGGAGGCCAGGGGGAGGTATCAGCCTCCCGACATCACCCAGCAGAAAATCCACACCCAGTGTTTTCTTATTTATTGAGCAGTGACAATCCCTGGAGGTGTTCAAGGCCAGGTTGGACAGGGCTTTGAGCAACCTGGTCTGATGGGAGGTGTCCCTGCCCAGGGCAGGGGGTTGGAACTCAGTGATCTTTAAGGTCCCTTCCAACCCAAACCATTCTATGATTCTAACTACCACCTCCTGATGAGGGCGATGGAGGACATCACCACTTGATGGGACCAGTGATGGAGAGCAGCAGAGGCTAGGTTTTTCACAGATGTCCATATGAGCA